AGGGGCGGGTTAAAAATAAAATTTATTATTATTATTATTATTATGAAAGTCCCAGATTTTGTTCCTGTTCTTTCCAATTTTCTACTTCCCCAACTGGGGAATTTGGCATAAATAGTCTCTGATCATACTAGGAGCTAGCAGAAGGTATTATAGGATAAACAAAAAGTGCCAGTGTGGCATAGTGGTTTGAGTGCTGGATGGTGACCCTAGAGACCATGGTTTGATTTGCATTGGGCCATGAAACTGAGGTCACCCACTGGGTGACCTTGGGCAAATCACATGCTCTGAACCTCAGGGAAAGGCAATGGCAAACGTCCTCTGAAAATATTGCTAAGAAAAATCCATGACAGGATCACCATAAGTCACAAATGACTTGAAGACACACAACAACAAACAAACAAACAAAAAGTCCACAGATCTCCAAAGTAAAATTGGAAAGAACAGGAAACAAAAATTAGGACTGTCTGATCTTTTTGATCAATCTGGATATGTCCTGTGATTGTGCTAAATATGAACATTTGATGAGGCAAGAGGCAACCCTGCTGCAATGACACAAGAAATCATCCAAGACACTCTCTCCCAACAGAGCCCTGGCCAAGTTCCTTGGAGGTTGCCTGGAACTATAATCTGAAAATGTAACTATTCTAAGATCTAGTAGTGATATCATAAAAAATGAAGAAAATTAGGTTATATCTGTCTGTACATCAATGTCACAGTGAATATTCCACTGACATGCCAGATCCTACATTTCTGACATTATGCCTATTATTAGTTGCACATTCAATGTGCTACCAACCTGCTTATCTTTACAGAAGAAAGATATGATTACTGATGCAATGGCAGTGTGACTATGTGCATTATATCAGAAGAGGTGTGAGGTGGGATCAGTTTTACACTCACATCAAAAGAGCATTGAATAGGGCTCAGACATTTCCTATATCATGGTCCAGGACTCCAAACTCTATTTAGGGGTCTCTAATAATACAAAGATGGAGTAAAGTGGTTGCAGGAACCACCCTAGGACCAGAGTTTGTGGAATTTTTAAAAAGTAAATAGTTATTGGTTATTGTGCCCCACCAAAAAACAACAGTAGTTCAGTATTATAGTTACAGTTTTTAAAAACATTTTCAGTTTTTCATCAGTAACTAGAATGTTTTCCCATTAGTTAAAATGTACGGTAGTGTTAGTTTCATTTTAAAAATACACTGAGCCAGAATGGCATAGTGGTTTGAATGTCAGACCAGGAATTGGAAAGACCAGTGTTCAAATCCCTGCTCAGCCATGGAAACCCACCTCTCAAAGTGCCCTGCACAACTTGCATGTCAGGGAAGCTGACCAGCTATCTATGTGCTTAAAAGCTTCTGAAGAGGTTTATTTGTCTGCCAAATAGCCACAAATAAACATATTTGTTCTTGATCTCTTGGGAGTTAAAATGTGTGAAAGATATTTAAAACTTCCAGTATATTTAGTGCCTAGAAGTTATATCGCAGGGGTAGGCAACCTTTCCCCTTTAAGGGCTGAGAGACTTCAGCTCCCAGAATCCCAGGAGCTATTGGCCAACATGGTTGAAGCTTCTGGGAGCTGAAGTCCCTCAGCCCTTAAAGGGGAAAGGTTGCCTACCCCTGCGACACTCTCCAGACCAGGGGTAGGCAACCTGCGGCCCCCCAAGGCCTTTGGACCGGCCCCAAACTGGTCCTGCCGCCGCTGCCGCCGCCAACCCCTGCTGCCCACAGCCACCCACCGTGATGATATTGATTATTGTTATTACTTGTACTTGGGGTTTTCATAGCAAAATCTCCACAGGGGTTTTGCCATCATGACTTTTCTAGGGCTGAGAGAGTGTGCATGCATATATTTTTTTAATTTTTAATTTAATTTTTTATTTTTGCTTCGGCCCCCCAGTTGTCTGAGGGACAGCAACCCGGCCCCTGGCTCAAAAAGGTTGCCTATCCCTGCTCCAGACCAATGCTTCTTGAGCTATCTAATATCAGAGACTGACAGGATCCCTTCACCCCCATGTACCATGGACCGGCACCACATTTGCACTCACTGAATGCAACCGTTTCTTTCTTTTCTGAAAAGGCATTATACTCACAGTCAATTGGCAGGCAATAGCTCACAGACCAGCATTGGTCCACAGGCCCCATTTTGAGTAGCACTGGTTTAAACTACAGATCCTATCATTCCCATAAAATGTGACTGATGATTGGGTGCAGGGCTAGTCCAAACTATCTAGAAATCTCCAGATTGCTTCCCCCAGCCAAGAATATTGGGATAATGAGTGATTTTTGGCCATCCACATGCTGAACTGCAAACTCCATTATCTGCTACCACTGACTATCCTGATATGGGCTAATGGGATCTTCAGGCTGAGATTTGGAAAGGCACAACTTCCCCATCTGTTGTTGGAAGGCATGGGATGCCTTCAGATTCCCAGCACTTTTTAAATCCAATGATATTTTAATATGATAACTGGTTTAATTGTATCTCGTTATTATTATTATTATTATTATTATTATTATTATTATTATTATCAGCCAGGTGTTTAGTTTTTACTTGTTTTAGCCATTTTATAAGCCCCCTTGGACCTCATGCTTAGAAAAATGTGGGATATAAATAAAATTAATTATAAATAAAAATTCAGTCCTGAAACTCACTGGATGACCTCCCAGTCAACTTCTTCTATGTAGCTAGAAGATTACAAGGATCAAAGGGGAGACACACAAAATCCTGATCTCCTTGGAAGTAGATAAAGGTGAAAATGTAATAAATAAGTTATAAGAAAAAGAAAACATTTCTTCTGACTTGTTTTATGACACACAGAGACATATGCTTTTTTTCCACAGCCTGGGTAAGATCACTTTAATGCTTTAATGAACGTCATGTTCTGAAAAGGACTTGGTGCAATGATGATTCTCTTCCCATGTTTTCAACAACAGCCTCTTCAGCAAAAAAGGAAATATCAAAAGACTTGTAGAATGCCATGTGAGTTTGGACATGAAACTGAAGTCAATAGTAGCTTTTGCAGCCACTACAACACACCTGGTACTTCCGATAAGAGGGGGACACTCAAGAAAATTGAAGCCTTGAATGAGCTGCTTCCACCTAACAAGCTATAATTTCTCTCCTTGGAGAGAGGGAAAAGAAAGGTCAGTGAGGAGGATTTGCTGTGGCAGTCCATTTGCTCTGTCTGCAAGGAGGAGTTCAAGATGATCTTCAGCATGCCACGAGACAAAAGCATCATTACCTATAATTACTGTCTGCCAGTGCCCACGGATTGATAACAAGCTTCCTCTGCCAGTCCTATCCTGCCTTTATTAAGAGAGATGATTACATTAATTAACAAATCAACTTTTCCATACCACATTGGGCAACTGACCTCCAGAACAATGATGCGGGGTTAGTTAAATGCAACTAGATGACATGTAACTAGTGCATCCCAAGGTTAGGAACAGGAGGAAATAAAGAATCGGTGCAGCATTATTTCCAGAGAAATAATAAATGTATTTCTCTCTTCTGGCAAACTATAGCAGATTGTTTCTTTTTTTTTTCTGATGTATATAATTTTATTATAGCAATATAAGAAGATATATTACTGTATATACTCATGTATGTCTAGAAATTTTAGTTAAAAAAAATGACCCCAAAAGACTGGGTCAACCACAGGTCAATATAAGGACTGTACTTTAATACTTTTTTTTAGAAAAAAGGAACCATCCTCTTCTCTGAGTAGAGGTGACAAAAGGCGAGAGCTTAGTCCATCCCAGGAGCACCTAAAAGAAGCACCAATCCTCTATAATTTCTCTACCATAATGCCACTTCTGGCCTATTGAATGGAAAATGGTGGCTGTGGCATCTCTTTGGTATTTACCCTCAAAGGAGCATCAAGAGGAATCAGGCTTTGAAGACTCTAACAAAGACATTTGTGTATGTTTGTCAGTTCTTCTGGGTTAAAATCAGGCAAAGTTATCACAATAAATTAAAAGGTTATAATCACTGCTAATGTAGTCACCATTTTCTTTGCTTCATCCTTTACATCCATTGCTACATACCCCTAAGTTTTACCCTTATCCACAGGTCATATCACAATCTAAATTTTTGGCTCCAAAAACCTGATTATACATGAGATCAGCGTACAGTATATACCAGGGGTAGGCAACCTTTCCCCTTTAAGGGCCGAGGGACTTCAGCTCCCAGAATCCCAGGAGCTATTGGCCAACATGGGACTATTGGCCAACATGGCTGAGGCTTCTGGGAGCTGAAGTCCCTCGGCCCTTAAAGGGGAAAGGTTGCCTACCCCTGGTATATACAGTATTTCATGTTACAAACAAATATAAGATGCATGCCCCCCCCCAAAAAAAAAAGTATCAGCATTATTTAACATTACTAAAAAATAGCATTCAAAGTACCTAGTTGTATCATACTGGCAGGGAACAAAATTAAGATGTAGCTTTGCAGTGTAGAATCAAATGTCAAAAATGGACAGAAAAGAACCAGATTTTACAACTTAACTAAAATACACAGGAGTACTTTGTGTCTGTTGATGTCCATGTTCTAACTAGCCCTCATGATATCATTAAATGGATGACAAAGATTAGGAAAGAGGCACTCCTATTTCAGGCTGCATCATTACAACAGATGGAAAGAGAAACATATTGATGTGTTTTGGATATTAAATTCAAATAAAATAAAATACACCATAAGAATATAAGGGAAATAATGACAAGCTTAATTCATTACAATATCCTGATGAATTTTTTTATTTGTATTTCTTTTTATTTCTGTCAAGGATTTATATCCCGCCTTTCTCCCACAAATAGGATTCAATTTTACATTGTTTGATAATTTCTTAAACTGTTTTAATGTATCTATCCTGTCCTGTAATCCCTAAATCAGTAGACAGAGTAGGACATAAATATTTCTGTAATTAAGTTATCAATTAATTAAAATACAACCAGATCTTTCTCTCTGGTGACAGCTAGAAAACACTGTTTTGTTCTGTTGATGATTCTAGTCTATTCTTTGCCAATACTGAACAACAATGTGACTAAATTTTGGCTTTCTTCTCTGTATAAGAAGGTAGGCAACATCCAGAGCTTGGAGAGCCATACCATTACCATACTCCTTGGAGGGCTAGACCCACCATTTCTGTCCCCCAAATATTTTCTGTCTAGAAACTGGATAATCTCATGTGCTCCAAGAGTCACAAATTCACAAGGACAATTCCAATTAATCCTCTGCCATCCCACTTTTTTTAGATGCTTTTTAAAATGTCCTGTTTTTCTCTCCTTCTCCCATGTTCCCTTTTGTCCTCTGCCTACTTCAGAAACTGAATTCAAAATGCAAAAGTAATTTGCATTTGCACTCAATTAACTCAGAGGTTCTCCTCATCCTGCAAAGCAGGAGGCTCCTCCACTTGACAGAGTGAGGTATTTACCACCACCTGGATCCACTCCTACTTGATCTACAAGGATCAAGTTTACATGTTGGGGGCTGAACTAACTGAAGCATCTTGTCCATCTCATCAGCCTCAGGAACTGATCCCAGGAAACCTGAGCAGATGGACCACTAGACACTTTCTCAGATTCTACAATAATTGAGAGTTAACTTTTTGAGCAAATAGGAGATACTTTCTCCCCAACGTGCTTAGCAAACTTATCACAGCAAGTAACTAACGGCTCCATTGCTGTCTCTCTATGCCTGATCCTAAGAGGCTGCCTATCACTTGGAATAACTCTGCTGGGCAGCATGTCAGTGGAGATATAGTATGCATGACTTGAGCATATGACAGAGAAAAAAAACCAGAGCAAAATATTTTGCATCTTCACAGCTATTCTGCTAGCTGGAATAATTGCAGTCCTATGCCCACTTATTTCTTCCTTGCAACCACCTTGAACCTTGAACCATAGCTGATCAACTTTTCACTAGTGCTGAAAAGTAGCAACCAGTCTTTGGTTACTTAGCAATTTCCAAAGAGAACATGAACAGCTAGTATGAAGCCACAAGTTTCCATGATGGAAGAGTACATATAGGCTGTATCCACACTGCAGAATTAATCCAGTTTGATACCACCTGAATTGCCATGGCTCAGTGCTATGGAATTGTGAGACATTTAGCCTTCTCTGTCTCTGGTGCCACAACAAGCTACAAAACCCAGGATTCCACATAATGGAGTCATGGCAGTTAAAGTGGTGTCAAACTGCATTAATTCTACAGTGTGGCAGCAACCTTAGTCTTTCAGGGCCTGTGGCTATGAGGGCAGGAGAGTGTTGCAATTTCTAA